GGGGCGGGGGGGGGGCGCGCGGACGCGTGCCAGTGGTGGGGCGCGAAATGCGCGCCAGAGTCGTTTGTGACTCCACGGCCACGGAGATCAAACGGATTATCGGAGATCAATCGGATTACTGGACATATCATGGGCTTTGGTTCAAGATGTCAAGATCATTGCAATGCCAAGCAAAGGACAGAGATCGAGGGGCGGTGGTGTGGACTTGGCACCGCAACACCGAGGTGGTGTGGCTGGCGAAAGCGCGTCGCGCAAGCTGCAGCACCCAAAGCAGCCGAGCAACCGACGCAGCTTGGAGCAGCAGCATCGGGCCGACTGCGCAGCTAGATAGGGCCAGCTACCTGGGCTGCGCCAAGCGGCGTGGGCGCCGCCGCCCGTGCCGCAGGGGCGGCGCTTGAGAGCGGTGGCAGTGCCGCACAGACTGAGTTTTGCCGGTGGCGAGCCACACTGTACGGCAGACGACCTCGCCGGGCCCCACCATCTCCACGCCATCAATAAGGCCGCCGGCGGGCAGCTAAGAGGACAGGTCCCCGTCGCTGAGGGTGCGGGGCGCCGAGGGGCGCTGCGGCACCATGCCGCTGCTCGCCGCCTTCAGGTGGTGCTCACGCGCCCTGGGGGTAGATGCAGGTGGGGTGTGGGGTGGGGTGAGTACGTGTGCTGTGGCAGCAACCGGCGCTACATGCGCGCCAACAGGCTGTTCGCCGCGGCATGGTTATGGATGGTGCTGATCCGTCCCCATCGCCTATGAAACACGTGCAGCCGTGCGCAGGCGCGTCCGCAGCCTGGCGCTGTGCTGCATGATTTCGCTGCGCGTTTGCAAGACAGCTGTGATTGCCTGACGCGGCAGCACCACAGCAGCGCAGCAGCAGCGGGGTAAGCAAACGGCTGCACGCACGGCTGCGGCGGCCGCAGCGGCTGCGGCCCGCCATTCGCGCTCGCATGTGCGCACGCGCACGTGAGGACGAATACGCGTTGCGGTGCCCTGTGCGCTTGATCACCGCAGAGAGATAGTATCTGAGCGCGCACCGCGCAGCCCGCCGCGCAGCCCATGCTCCACGCCGCGGCTCGCGTTGGACAAGCCACTGCCAATGGTCGAGAGGCCCAGGCTCAGGCTCAGGCCGACCCAGGTTATGGCAACGCTCATGGCCAGCGGCTCCAACTCCATCGTGGCTTCGCGGGTGTATATGAGGGGCGCAAGAGGTTGCGCAATTGCAATATTGGTTTAGAACATGCTGACACTCCCCTTTCTGGTCGCCCCGCAATTTGTCATTGCCTGTCATAGTGTCGTTGCCGCGATTTGGTCATTGCCGAGGTTCACAAGCCACGATGGAGTCGGGGATGCTGGCGATGAGCGTGGCGTTTGCTTCTGTCGGCCTGGCCCTGCACCTGGGCCTCTCGGACCTCGGAAAGGGTATCGGCAACGGCCTATACACGCGGGCCGCAGCGTCGAGCGCGGGCTGCGCGGTGCGTTCTCCGAGACTATTTCTCCGCGGTGAATAAGCGCACCGGGCACGTGGGAAGAGCGAGAAAGCGCACCGGGCACAGTAGCGTGTTTTGTCGCCGCCTGCGCATGTGCGTGCGCGAGCGTGAACAGCGCCACCGCCGCTGCAGCCACCGCAGCCATGCGCGCAGCTGTGCCCCTTTCTGGCCGCTGCTGCATTGCTATGTTTGCTGCCGACTTGAGCCGCTGTGTCAGGCAGCTGTCTTGCAAACGCGCATCAAAAACGTGCAGGAGAGCGCCAGCCTGCGGGCGGGCCTGCCGCAGGCTGCACGTCTTGTATGTGCCATGGGGAGGCGTCCGCACCAGTCAATAAGCATGCCGCGGCACACAGCCGAGGCGCTTGTAGAGCCGGTTGCTGCCACAAACAACACACGCGATTTTTCCCCCGCCCCGACCTGCATCTAGCCCCAGGGCGCGTGTGCACCGCCTGAAGGCGGCGAGCTGCAGCAAGGTGCCGCAGCGCCCCTCTGTGCTATGCACACTCAGCGACGGGGACCTGTCCGCTGAGCTGCCGGCCGACGGCCTCACCGATGGCCTGGAGATGGTGGGGCCCGGCGAGGTCGTCTGCCGCACGGTGCGGCTCGCCAGCCAAGACCAAGTTTGTGTGCCGCCGCAACGGCCCCTGCGGCACGGGCGGCGCCCACCGTAGCGCAAGCAGATATAGCCATGATAGCTTCAAACAACAGTTTGACGCAGCCGCAATGTCATGAAAAAAAAGGGCCGCGCATTTTGCGTCCACCTCTGGCCGCGTCCATCCC